TCCTGAAGGACTGTCCCCTGGGAAGCTGGCTATAAGCCATTTCATGCTGGCAGGTTTCCAGCACAAGTAGCCATGTGGTGAGTTCTCCAAAGCATAAGCTCTTACGTGATCCAGTTCTTGATCGCCTCTGCCATGCCCAGAAGGCAGGGACACTGGCATTGCTCTGCAGCCACAGAGCCACCAGATTGTTCTCACCATGGGGAAACTCCAGGACTTGAGTTTTTAGCTGGGCTTTGCTCCAGCTGCCTCTTCGTAAAGAGCAAAAAAGAATGCTTCCCTCCCTGGGGGACAAGGAAACTAGGCTAATGCTGGTCAACATTTTGCATTTCTTTGTAGTTTTCCTTGCAGGAACGCATGTCACTGTAAGTACATAAAGTACATGGAATACTGTAAACATTCCTATGAGCACATATTTACAATGGTACCTTTTCCGAGACAGTCCTTATGGAGTCTTTAAACCAAGGAACAATAATTGCTATTAATCCCAGAAATAGTATTTAGAGAGTAGAAGGCCCCCTAAAGAAGGAACGCCTCTTGTCACCATGGTGTAAGGAGTTAACCACATGATCTGCAACAATCCCATAGAAGCTTGAAAACATATGTAGTGATAATAATACTCCCAGCACCTACCACTGGACCGCATCTTAATGTGTAGAGCTGGGTAAAATAATTGTCTAATGATATAAAACATAGTTTTTGTAGCAAAATAAATGCTGGAAAAATACGTTTCAGCTTTCTTTTTTAAGACTTGTAAGCAGCACTGTTTTGTATGTTTTACATATTATATTGCCTTATCCCTAGCCAAAAATAAATCAGTAAGCCTTCTCATACTCCTTGAACATATTTGCCTGCCTCTGAAATATCACAATAACACTCAAATAATATTAGTGCCATCTAAAGATGTATTCAGGCACTGCATCACCAACAGTTATAAGCATCCCTTTTTGTTAGTTTAAGAAGTTGGCCATGTTAACGCATGCAGGTGTTAAGACGATGGGAAACCAGCAGTGAAATATACAATCAGGACCTACTTTTTTTTTGAAAAATATATAAACTCTTGTAAACTATGATTTGCCTGTGACACTAGAGATCTTTTCTCTGCCTCTCAAAATAGTATTGGCATTTCTTTTTGACCAGGAGGATGCTGAGAGGCCCCTCCTCTTCTCTCTTAAGTGTTTAGGCTAATACTTAGGTTTGCAGTGTATGTTTTTGTAACTTTCAGAAGGTGTGACCACCAGAAACAGGGCAGGCAAAATCATGGAGTTAAAAGGATAGGAGTCACGAATGTAAAGGTGTTGGAGGCACCCTTGGAATTGGAGCAGTCCTACCATGGGAGGGGCCATGATCTCCTTGCCTAGCCTTCCTCTTGGTGGGAAGAAGCTTCTACATCTGCTCCTGGCTGCAGAAAAGTAACTTTCCTCATTGGAGGAACCTGGGGATACTTAAACATTCCTAAAGGCAGCAGCCCCAGAGTCCTGCAGCCAGATCTCAGAAGGCTGAGGGGGTGTCTGTGGGGCCTGCTGGGACATGTTGTCCACCTCCTCCCTTTACCTGTACAACTCCTGCCGTTCCAGATGTCCATTCAGATCAGTATTTCTCAGTTTGGGTTGCACAACAGAACCATCTGGGGAGGCTTATAAAGTAGTGATGCCTGGATCCTACCCAGATATTCTTATTTAATTATTTTTGTGGGCTAGCCTGGGCATGAAGACTATTTAAAGCTCCTAGGTAATTCTCATGCACAGCCAAACTTGAGAACCACAGGTTTGGATGATGTGTCTTTGAAGAAGCCCTCCCTGACCTCCACACACTTCGTCTTCAGTATTCATTCTCCCCTTGTATGGATTGTCAGTGCATTAAACTTATACCTCCATGTCGATCAGGACTGTTCCCAGGGGGGTTGAGACTGGTGTGTCAGAGTCATTATATGCTGGCATGTTTCTAGCCTATGAATAGCCATGTGGTGGGTCTACAAAGCAGCACCAGCAATTATGTGACCTGCTTTTAGGGCCCTCTCCTCAGTGTTCCTAACAGCATCTCATCTCTGTTGTGTGGAGCCTAATGGCACTGTGTTTCATTTTTCTGCTGTCTGTCCCCACCTGACTATGAATCCCCTGAAAACAGAGATGATATCATTTTCATTCATTACTGTGTCCCCAGAGCCTAGCACAGGGCCTGCCAAGTGCATAGTAGGTCCTCAAGAGCAATTGTTGATTAAAAAATTTAAAAAAAGAGTTTTAGTGAGGCTTCAGTGAAACAAATCCTAACAGGGACTTTTATATAACTTGCTAATAAGAACCTTTTAGTTTTATGGACTAAAAATCTTTCCCTCCTTCGTTTAAAATTTTAATGAAATTCACTATTTTATGCATGTCTCAAAAAATCACCCAATTTTCAATATTTTCTGAAGTTGCTTGCCGTCCGCTCTTCTTTCCTTCTCAGAAAACCTTTTGATGTATGTGTGTGCATAGGCATAGTAGTGTGTGTGCATGTACATATATGTAGTATATATTTTTAAATTGCTGTGAGAACTGTGATGTAATTAGCTACCATGGAATCAAGTTCACTGGGCATTAAAATATCTCAAGCTGGATTTGCTTAAGTGAGGCATATGAGTTAGTGATGAAAATGTTTGATTCTTGTTACACATCAGCAGAGCCATGAGATGGTCTGTGAAAGGGGACAGATTTTTTAAGAAATGGAGAGCTATTGACAAGGTACTTTTTCCTGAGTACCTTTATTGTTAGATGAATAGTGGCATTTGTTTATGGGCTGCTGAGTGTGGCAAGGTCACCGTTGTCACTTCCCTGTTTGTGAAAGTATTGGTAGTTTGTCTTCCCTGTACCACAGATCTGTCACATTCTGCATAAAACCAGTAAATTCAACTTGATGTCACTGACTACCCAAGTACAGGCAGCATACACAAACTATGCCTAAGCCTTTGATTATAGCTGGAAACCACAGTCCTAGATGTTTTTCTCTTGCCAAATTTATCATTTCCTAAAATCGTCCTTTAAAACCATTGTCCTTTGCAGCCTTCAAACCCCATTATTCTTTAAGAAGTGACCATTCAGGTGATGTAAACAGCTTGGCCACACTCCTCCCTCCCTGCCCCACTGTCTAGCTGCTACATTGACCTATCTTTGTGTTCACAGGTCATAATAGAACATGTTTTTGGTTTTTTGTTTGTTTGTTTTTTGAGATGGAGTTTCATTCTTGTTGCCCAGGCTGGAGTGCAATGAAGCAATCTTGGCTCACTGGAACCTCCACCTCTCGGGTTCAAGCAATTCTCCTGCCTCAGCCTCCTGAGCAGCTAGGACTACAGGCGCCTGCCAACATGCCCAGCTAATTTTTGTGTTTTTAGTAGAGATGGGGTTTTGCCACCCTGGCCAGGCTGGTCTCAAACTTCTGACCTCAGGTGATCCGCCCACCTCGGCCTCCCAGAGTGCTGCAATTACAGATGTGAGCCACCACACCAGGCCCATAATAGAGCTTGATAAATAAGAAGACTCACCCCATCCTCACTGCCAAGACCATGCCCTTAGGATTAATTGGCAGGAAAAACATGCAAACATGAAATATCTTTACATCCACAAAGACCTGCTATTTGTTAGACATTGGCTTTTGCAGGAGTGAATTAGATTTTTGGCTCCGGGTTTCTATCGGAGTCTTCGTTAATATCTAGGTCTGTGTCTGCATGTGTCCGTAGATAAAGTAGTCACTCAGTTTCTCTCGTCATAACACCTTGTTTTGACTTTTTGCTTAGTGCTTGTTTCCATCTGTATTTCCTTGTTCGCTATTTACTCCTTTCTTGTCTCTCTCCATTAGAATATATTCCCCATGAGAACAAAGACCTCATTGTCTTGCTTGCCATCAAATCCCCAGTACCAGGACTCATGGAAGACACATATTTAATACTTGTTGATAAAGTATCCCAGATATTTATTTTCATTTTCAAACAGAACTTTTCTTCTTAAAATGTAATGTCTATAAGTCTCAGGTTCACCCAGTGGCTTACTAAATAAAAGGAATCATACACAAAGTATAAAAATTAAAGAGTTCAGATCAGAGTTCAGAGAGTTTGAATAAGATACTTTTTCCTGATTCTCATGTATTTCACTGTCAGTAACTCTGAACTTCTGTTTGCAGGGTGCTGTTGCTATTGATTGAAAAGCAGTTTGGATCTTTCTATATAATGCTAAATAATTGTATTAATTATTTTACAGACATGCCGAAAGTCAGCAGAAGCACATGGCAGAGAAAATGCCTGCAAAGTGAAAAGAAGCCATTCAACCAGAGAACAAGCTAGAATTTATTTTGCTTCTGTGGTTGTAAAAATGCTGTTGCTAAAGGCAGCACAGAAACAAACAAATATCAGTGTTAGTCATTGATAATGTCTGAAGCTTAATGTCCAGTGATTGGCCTTTGCTTCTTAATTTATTTTAATTTTTTACTTGTGCCACTTAATATCAGGCATTTTAATAAAATATTGTTACAGAAAAATGTACAGTACTGACACCACCACAAAACATGGTTAATAAAAGAGCGTAGTTTTAACTTTATTTTTATTTGTTTAGAGATTTTAAGTTGGAGCAGTATTTTCCCATTGACTACTTTTCATTCTTCACTGTAGTTTTAAAGAAGAACTGTAAATGACGGTGCTATACAAGTCAAAAGTACATGCCTGCCTCGTAGTGAAGTCGTAGCTCTCCGTAATATGTATATTTTACTCAGTTTTCAACATTTTGTGAATGTTGACTACCTGAAGTTCCTTTTTAGATGTGCTATTAACATTCTGTTGGATTCAGAGGGTTCCTTGAAAGTTTTATGTATAAATATGTAAAATAAAAATGAAAACTTTGTTTCATATGATATGTCTTTTTGCTCACTAGCAACCCTTATATTGGCTTAACCCCACTGCAGCTGAATCCCCCACCAGGAGGGGTTTATCAGTGAAAAAAACGAATTGCTCCAGAGGACAGGCAGGGTGGCAAATTGCCCAGAAAATTATGAGTGTGAGTGCATGTCTGTGAGTATGTGAGAGAGAGGGTGGTCCGAAGAACACCGAAGGCCAGTCACATCAGAGCCTGCACTGCTACCATTGCTGAGAGCGATCAGTCTGGAATTTTCACACTTTAGTATTTAATAGCTGCTGGTGTTATAAGCACTGTGATTGTATCAACTTCCATGTACTAAATTCACCACGTGGACAAATGATGCTTGCATTCACTCTTTCTCCGAGGCCAGTTGTTGCTATTTTCAAATTTTTAACCATTCTGTTGGTCTCATGAAAGAAGATTCCAAGTCTAAAGCAGATTACAGACTGTTTCTTAATAAGTGGAGAGTTTCAGAAAATAGATTTAATTAACTAAGGTTCATGTAGGGATTAGGGAAGAATAAACCAAAGCAAAGATGAGCAATTCCACATTCCAGAACCACCCACAGACCACCTGGTTTCACTCTAAGGTCCATGATGTAATCTGAAGATAGAACTTTAGAAAACGGCCTCCATTTTCTTTTCTCAAAAATAGATAAGTATTGTAAGGAATTCAAAAATAGATAAGTATTGTAAGGAATTTGAAAGATTTGCCAGTGTTCCTAGAAGGCTTCTGTTTAGCAAAATAGGTAATCTTTTTTTAAAATTTGAGATGGAGTCTCGCTCTGTCACCAGGCTGAAGTGCAGTGGCACGATCTCAGCTCACTGCAACCTCCACCTCCCCGGTTCAATCGATTCTCCTGCCTCAGCCTCCCAAGAAGCTGAGACTACAGGCATGCACCACCACGCGCAGCTAATTTTTGTATTTTTAGTAGAGATGGGGTTTCGCCATGTTGGCCAGGATAGTCTCGATCTCTTGAACTCATGATCCGCCTGCTTCAGCCTCCCAAAATGCTGGGATTACTGGTGTGAGCCACTGCGCCCGTTCAAAATAGGTAATCTTAAATTGTAACACTAGTCACTTTTTATGGGCCTCAAACAAGTTATTTCCATTCAGAATAGAAAAAGAACACAGTTCATAAATATATTTTGGTTTTTGTGAGCTGGCTGTTGAGGAGGACACATTGCTGCCTCACCCCTGAGCTAAAGGATGAGGCCCTAATCCTCTCCGTGAAAAGGTCTCTAACTGGGCCCTGAATTCCCACAACAGCTCTCAGGGATCTCCTGAGGCCATCCAGCCCTGCAAATCCAAACACAGCAGCTGGACCATTGCTGCTTCTACTGGGTGAGAATGTTGGTCAGTGATTCAGCGGCTCTTGTCTCTAGCTGCACAGTGGAACCACGTGGAGAACTTCAGAAACCACTAGTACCTGCCTGGGTCCACCCCCCATGGACTGACTTAAATGGTCTGGGGTGTAGCCTGGGCATTGAGACTTTCTTTTCTTTTCTTTTTTTTTTTTTGAGACAGAATTTTGCCCTTGTTGCCCAGACTGGAGTGCAATGGCACCATCTTGGCTCACTGCAACCTCCACCTCCCAGGTTCAAGAGATTCTCCTGCCTCAGCCTCCTGAGTTAGGCCACCACTCCCGGCTAATTTTTGTATTTTTAGTAGAGATGGGGTTTCATCCTATTGGCCAGGATGGTTGCGATCTCTTGACCTCGTAATCCACCCATCTTGGCTTCCCAAAGTGCTGGGATTAGGCGCCCAGTCATTTGAGACATTTGAAAGTCCAGAAGATTCTAATGTTGGAAACCATTGCCTTCCACTTTCTTCTTTTCTTTGTTAAACGATGTTTCTAAATACATGTTTTTTTTCCCTAAATAAAAAATATTATATTCCTATTAGTTTGCAATCTGGGGAGAGCAGACCTAGAAAGAGTGCTATGGAAAATGCCTGTGTTCCAGGAAGAAAAGGTAGTGTGGCCTTCTGAACCTCCTGTGGTGACACTCAAAACACGGAGCCTGGCACTAAAATTCAGCACACCGCAAAAGACATATTTTAAAGTCGCTGCTGGAACTGCCAGTTCCAGTAAAAATGTAGAAATGCGTTTTCTCTGTCTTAAGCAATGCAGTTCCCGGCTGGAAATGCATGTTGTGAAGAAATCTGTGGCATTTAAGCCCTTCTAATTGTTTGAAGCCCATAATCATAACCAAATAGCTCCCAACTGGAGAAGAAAAGAGAGAAAAGGACATTATACCTACAAAGGGCCTCTCAGAATAGCTGTGGGTCAAAGCCTGGCTAATAGTACAGCAGGTCTTCCCACCACACCCTAAGATACTCAGAGGAGAGTTACATTCAATTTACTGATGTTCCCTTCAGCTTTCCCTGCCTGTGGTAGAAATGTCACCAAGTGACTCTCCTCTAAGGAGATTCTTTCAAGATTGAGTCTTTCCAGTATTTTTGCTTAAGCTTGTCATCAAGAACTGCGATTATATCCAACAGGATTGTTACCTGCACTAAGTCATTCTTCCACATGTGAACTAGGACCTTTAATAATTAACCAGGCTTAGAATGCTGGGCTAACCAACCTCAAAAATAGGGTTCTGCCAGCCAGCCGGGCTTGGTGCTCACACCTGTAATCCCAGCACTTTGGGAGGCCAAGTCCATCGGATCATGAGTTCAAGAGTTCAAGAGATCAAGACTATCCTGGCCAACATGGTGAAATCTCATCTCTACTAAAAATACAAAAAATAACTGGGCATGGTGGTGGTGGGCGCCTGTAATTCCAGCTGCTTGGGAGGCTGAGGCAAGAGAATTGCTTGAACCCAGGAGGCAGAGGTTGCAGTGAGCTGAGATCAAACCACTGCACTCCAGCCTGGTGACAGAGTGAGACTCTGTCTCAAAAAAAAAAAACAATCAAGTTCTGCTTCTCTTCCCCATTTTTAGAGTGAGGGTAGATCAGAGTGCGCAGGCTCTGGGGCCAGAAGGGACTGACTACAAATGTTGACTCCATCTTCCCAAGGATGTGACCCTGAGTGAGTTTCTAAAGCTGCCTGTGTCTTATCTCATCACCTATAGATACCATCTCCTCAGATTATTAAAAAGATTGGATAATGTTTATGAAGGCACCTGACACCCAGGAAATACTGAATAAATAAGTGTTCAATAAAAAGTAAATATCAGTTCTCAGGCGGTGAGAGCATTCTGTATTTTATCAGTTTCTGAGATTTAAGGCATCCTTGTGATTTTATTTCTTGTTTATTAATTATTAACTTACAAAACAGTCACGGTTAAGGAAAAAATAATTTCAAGTCCCACTCCCTCCTCCAAATAACCAGTGCTAAAACTTAGAATGCATTCTAACACATTTCTCTATGCTTATACAGATACACATGCATGGGTTTTATATTTCCGTTTGTCTATACAAAGGTAGGATCTCTGCAACTTGCTTTATCCATAGATATCCTTCCAGGTCAGGATGTACAGATCAAAGTCATTTTTTTTTTTTTTTTTTTTGGACAGAGTCTTGCTCTGTTGCCCAGGCTGGAGTGCAGTGGCACAATCTCAGCTCAGTGCAACCTCTGCCTCCCAGGTTCAAGCTATTCTCTTGCCTCAGCATCCCAAGTAACTAGAATTATAGGTGTGTGCCACCACCCCTGGCTAATTTTTGTATTTTTAGTAGAGACAGAGTTTCGCCATGTTGGCCAGGCTGGTCTCGAACTCCTGACCTCAGGCGATCCACTTGCCTCTGCCTCCCAAAGTGCTGGGATTACAGACGAGCCACTGCACCTGGCCCAAAGTCATTCTTTTTTTTGAGACAAAGTTTCGCTCTTGTTACCCAGGCTGGAGTGCAATGGCGTGATCTCGGCTCACCACAACCTCCGCCTCCTGGGTTCAGGCAATTCTCCTGCCTCAGCCTTCTGAGTAGCTGGGATTACAGGCACATGCCACCATGCCCAGCTAATTTTTTGTATTTTTAGTAGAGACGGGATTTCACCCTGTTGACCAGGATGGTCTTGATCTCTCGACCTCGTGATCCACCTGCCTCGGCCTCCCAAAGTGCAAAGTCATTCTTTTTAATAGCTGTGTAGTAATCCCCAGTGTTGGTGGAACATACCTTATTCAGCCATTCCCTTTAATGATGGACATTAAGAATCTTTCCAGATTTCTGCCACCAAAAGCAATGATGCAATAATCAATCATACTTGTACTTAATATCTATATATACCTTTTATTCTGTGAGTACCTCATTTTTTTCTTTAACCATTGCTTGGTACTGCTTAAATACTTGGGAGTACAGAGAGCTAATTGAGGTAGGGAAGACCAGGAGGGGTCATTGCAGAGAAGTCTGATTCCTTGCAATGAAATTGGACCACACCAACACATTTTCTTCTTCAAAGATTCAACTAGGGCCTCTCTCTCTCTCCTCTCTCTCTCTCTCTCTTTCTCTCTCTCTCTCTCTCTCTCTCTCTCTCACACACACACACACACACACACACACACAGCCTCCAAAACTCTCCTCTGCCTCCTGAGTACAGATTTTTCTCTTTTCCCTCTTTGAGGGTAGAGGCAAACTTCAGCCACCCTTGTTAACTGTAGCCCCCAGCACAGAACCAAGCAGGCAGTCCTCGCTTGACGCCTGGCCCAATAAGAAGCTCTGACCATTAGGACTCTGCCTTTCGATGCCTCCGTTAACTGGCCTCACTCTACTCTTCTGATGTGTGATGCCTCTCCTCTCAGCTGAGGGATGAGCCCCTGGGCTAAATTTCCTACAGGTTTAATCTCACTATTCTCAAGTTTAATCCCTGACAACTGGTTGGTTTTTTGTTTGTTTGTTTGTTTTTTCTTAAATTCCTCACCTACCTAGAAATCTAATCTAAGATCAGAAATATTTCCTTCCACAGAATTTGTCATCTCTGATAAACAGCCCTTTTAGCCAGCCATCTGTTAAAATTCATGCCTCTCCACTATGTTTATAGTTTTGGAATTGTTATTGGGAAATGCCTAGAAAGACAGGAACATTCCCAGCCCCCTGCCCCTTGGCCCTAGATGTGATCCCGTGACACGTTTTCACCAATGGAATGTCAGTGGCTGTGATGGCCCCTAATTCTAGCCAAGGCTTGGAAGAAAGGTTTGCCCTCTCTAATCCCTTTCTCCTTGTACCAGCTACAATCACAAGAACCTAGAGGGATGCAGAGCCACCAGATGGAAAAAGTCTGGGTGCCTGAGTCACTGCGTGGAGAGAGCTACCTGGCACCCAAAAGGATTCACCTCAAACTGAAAGAACAAAGTGACAAACAGTGATCACATTTGTGCCTTCATACCGCATTGCATCTGTTCCAACAGCTAGCAGTACACTAATGCGAGTCCTTAACAAGGACAGCCATTTCAGAAACAGCTGAAACACAGACCCAGTTCTCTGACAACAAACCCTATGTTCTAAGCCACCATGCCACACTGCTTCTTTTCTATAGAAAATCTCTAGGTCAGAGATTGACCCTTTTGTCAGTTAATGGACCTCCTCGGTTCAGTTTAAATCTTTTCCCTGCTCTATCTTTTCCTTTAGCCATTAGGACAGAAATCAGAAGTTGACCAAAATGAGATTCATCATGAACAAACAAATCATGCCAGAAACAAGAATGTGGGATTTATGATGATACCAGAAACACGAATATTGTTAAGTGACAACAGGTGGCCTCTTTGGTGTCTATCTGGAAAAGTCTTAGGTTTCTATAGTCTTTAAGACCACACTTTGATTATTGCCATCCCAGCTGAATTCTGATGCTCACAAAACACAATTACCTTTTGCACTGGTGTTCATTTATTTTTCTAAATAGGATATGACACATTCATTAGGAGATAGGTTGATGGGTAATAAGTTTTCCAGGATATTTTAATTGAGGCTTATAGTCAGTTGTCAGTATAAATTAACATTATATTAAATAATTCATGAATTAATGGTCTGGCTGTGCAAAATGAAATGTCTTTTTAATTTCTGAATGGGCATCCTAAAGTCTTTTCATTTGGTAGCTTTGGTAAGAAATGAGTCACTGGGCCGGGCGCGGTGGCTCAAGCCTGTAATCCCAGTACTTTGGGAGGCCGAGGCGGGTGGATCACGAGGTCAAGAGATCGAGACCATCCTGGTCAACATGGTGAAACCCCGTCTCTACTAAAAATACAAAAAATTAGCTGGGCATGGTGGCGTGTGCCTGTAATCCCAGCTACTCGGGAGGCTGAAGCAGGAGAATTGCCTGAACCCAGGAGGCGGAGGTTGCGGTGAACTGAGATCGCGCCATTGCACCCCAGCCGGGGTAACAAGAGCGAAACTCCATCTCAAAGAAAAGAAATTAGTCACCAAGACTAATTGGTCATAAGAAAATTTTTTTTGTAGCAAACTTCTTTTTGTACAGTTCTCTGCTCTAGAACAATATTCTGTCTATGGTTGTAACACAGTCCTTGTTTTAAAAACAACTGAATCCGCTTTCCTGCACCACAGTACAAGAGCACAAGGCAGCAAAGTGATACTTACAGGGAAAGTGATTTTGTGTTCGCCCTCCAGACTAGCCATTCAAACTTTCTTGTTTATTATTTACTACTAGATTCTCTTTTCTTTTGTATTCAGTCAATACCCTATTTGCTTTTTTGGCTTTTCAGATAATAATGGTGTGTATCCTGGCTGTGGTAAAGCATAGGCAAGGCTGGAAGTAAGTGCTTATTTTCTGCCTCATAAAGTTACTTCCTTCCGGATGTGTGTTAGTTCTCAGTAGAAATTACAGTCTGTAATGACGTCTCATCTCACCTTGTGAAGGAGCTTTTTAGGTCACGTAACATCCCATGTATTACAAAGGGCGTGTGAAAGTCAGCCAGGGATCCATGCTTCACCTTGAGAGCAATTTCGATGTGAGGGTTCAAGGTAAAAATGATGTTGACTTTTACAGGCAGTGGGGAGAAAGGGCTTTACTATTTATCACAGGACATCCACTTCCTCTTTCCAGCAAAGCGAAGGACTCTTGTCCCTGCTGCTCAAGAAAGCTGATTCGAGAATGTGTCATTGTCTCGGATGCAAATCAGATTGAGAATAGAACACCAGGCGGGTGCTCTAAGTAATTTTTTTAAGGGAAGTAATGAATGCCTCAGGAGGAATAATTAGGTGTGGGGATGTTTGTATGGGAGTGATGAATCGATCTCCCTGCAGTTCTGGCTAAACTAAGAGTGGGAGTAAGACAGACATGGGGCTTTTTGGAGCTTGCAAACCAGTCTCACACACTGCAAGTGAGAGCGCCGGGCCTTTAGGGTGACAGCATAAGAGCATGAGAGGAAACCTGGCTGAACATGAGGACTGGGAAATGAGAGAGCTGTTCAGTGAGAGGCCCGGGGGGACCCGGGACAGCATCTGCAGACCTTGCCAGCTCCACTGCAGGCCTTGCCCTGGCCAACACCTCCAAATGTGTTTTGGTGTCTTAAACCCATTAGCCAAAAAAGTGCCTGGTGGGTTTTGCCTCCAAGAGAGTTAAAACTAGAGTCACTGCCAGGCCTGTCTGTCACCAATCTGCAGTTTCCTGTTAGGACATTCTTCGGGCACTACAGTGGGACCCAGGGAAACTCAGAGCCAGGCCCACCGCATGAGTGCTAAGGCTTAGAGGGCATTTGCCAGAGGCAGCTTTGAAGGGGCTAAATAATTGAGGTTTAATGAATTTGGAGGGTGATATGTGAATACATACCATTTTTGGTTTTGTCTTGTTTCGGACACAGGCCTTCGCTCTATCACGTAGGCTGGAGTGCAGTGGCCTGATCACAGCTCACTGCAGCCTCGAAATCCTGGGCTTGAGCAATTCTCTTGCCTCAGCCTCCCAGGTAGCTGGGATGACAGGCACCTGCCACCATGCTTGGCTAAGTTTTTTTCTTAATTTTTTTGTAGAGACAAGGTCTCACTTTGTAGCCCAAGCTAATATCCAGACTTCGAGCGATCCTCCTGCCTCAACCTCCCAAACTGCTGGAATTACAGGCATGAGTTGCTGCCCCCAGCCTACAAACTGCTTGTTAGTTTCCCCTACTTCCCAAGCTGATCTGGGGGGCTACCTCCCCACAAACACATAAGCAAGAATAACTCAAAAACTATCAATAAATGAATGTGGTTTGGAGAGAAGGGACACAGCCAACAATAAACAATAAAACGAAAGTTTTGAATTCCACTTTTTCGGCCACATATTAAATGTGCTGTTCATTTGCTCCTTATAAGAAAGAGTCCGAAGAAGCAGCTTCTCCGCTCCTTCTGGAATCTCTCCCTGGTTCAGCCCACCTGTCTCCACTCCTGCCTCCACCATGTCCATCAGGGTGACCCAGAAGTCCTACAAGGTGTCCACCTCTGGCCCCGGGGCCTTCAGCAGCCACTCCTTCACGAGTGGGCCCAGTGCCCGCTAGAGCTTCTCCCAAGTGAGCAGTAGTGGCTTCCGGGGTGGCCTGGGTGCAGGCTATTCTGGGGCCAGCGGCATAGGCATGGGAGGCATCACCGCCGTCACCATCAACCAGAGCCTGCTGAACCCCATTAAGGTGGATGTGGACCCCAACATCCAGGCCGTGCGTACCCAGGAGAAGGAGCAGATCAAGACTCTCAACAACAAATTTGCTTCCTTCATCGACAAAGTGCGGTTCCTGGAGCAGCAGAACAAGATGCTGGAGACCAAGTGGAGCCTCCTGCAGCAGCAGAAGACGTCTCAGAGCAACATGGAACATGTGGGAGAGCTACATCAACAACCTTAGGTGGCAGCTGGAGACTCTGGGCCAGGAGAAGCTGAAGCTGGAGGCAGAGCTTGGCAACATGCAGGGGCTGGTGGAGGACTTCAGAAACAAGTATGAAGAAGAGATCAATAAACATACAGAGATGGAGAATGAATTTGTCCTCATCAAGAAGGATGTGGATGAAGCTTACATGAACAAGGTAGAGCTGGAGTCTCGCCTGGAAGGACTGACTGACGAGATCCACTTCCTCAGGCATCTGTATGAAGAGGAGAGTGGGGAGCTGCAGTCCCAGATCTCAGGCAAGTCTGTGGTGCTGTCCATGGACAACAGCCGCTCTCTGGACATGGACAGCATCATCGCTGAGGTCAAGGCACAGTAAGAGGAGATCGCCAACTGCAGCCGGGCTGAGGCAGAAAGCGTATACCAGATCAAGTATGAGGAGCTGCAGATGCTGGCTGGGAAGCATGGGGATGACCTGCGGCGTGCAAAGACTGAGATCTCCAAGATGAACCGGAACATCAGCCGGCTCCAGGCTGAGATCGAGGGCCTCAAAGGCCAGAGGGCTTCCCTGGAGGCCGCCATTGCAGATGCTGAGCATCGTGGGGGGAGCAGGCACTCAAGGATGGTCATACCAAGCAGCAGGAGCTGGAGGCCGCCCTGCAGCGGGCCAAGCAGGACATGGCAAAGCAGCTGCGTGAGTACCAGGAGCTGATGAATGTCAAACTGGCCCTGGACATCGAGATCGCCACCTACCGCAAGCTACTGGAGGGCAAGGAGAGCCAGCTGGAGCCCGGGATGCAGAACATGAGTATCCACACGAAGACCACCAGCGGCTATGCAGGTGGTCTGAGCTCTGCCTATGGGGGCCTCACAAGCCCCGGCCTCAGCTACGGCCTGGGATCCAGCTTTGGCTCCACCTCCATCAGCTGCACCAGCTCCACCAAGGCTGTGGTTGTGAAGAAGATTGAGACCCACGATGGGAGGCTGGTGTCCAAGTCCTCTGACGTCCTACCCAAGTGAACAGCTGCAACAGCCCCTCCCAGCCTGCCCCTCCTGAGGCTGCCCCAGAGCCCAGGAGGGAGGCTGCTGTGCAGGGGAGCGCAGGGAACAGGAGACCCACCTGACGCTTAGCCCTAGCCCTCAGCCCACAGGCGGGGAGTTTACTGCCTGGGGACCCCCCTTGCCCATGCCTCCAGCTGCAAAACAATTCAATTGCTTTTTTTTTTTGGTCCAAAATAAAATCTCAGCTTGCTCAGGAAAAAAAAAAAAAAGAGTCCTAGCTAATTCATCTCGCTTTTGAATCTAAATTGTATTTCCGATCTTCTCTCTCATACTCATTTCCTCTGTTCATTTATTTTTATTTTAAATTATTGTAAGTACATCATAGTTGCATATAGTCATGGAATATATGTAATGATTTGATATGGTGTTTAATGTGCAATGATCAAATCAGGATGACTGGGATATCCATCTCCTCAAGCGTTTATCATCTCTTTGTGTTAGGAACATTCCAACTCCACTCTTAATTATTTTAAAATAAACAATAGATTATTGTGAATTGTAGTCAGCCCATTGTGTTACTGTATACTAGACCCTATTCATTCTAACTGTATTTTTGTACCCATTAGCCATCGTCACTTTGTCCCCCACTCCCCACTACCCTTCCCAGCCTCTGGCAACCTCATTCTAGTCTATCTCCATGAATTCAACTTTTTAAAATTTTAGCTGCCACATGAATGAGAATATGCAAAGCCTCTCATTTCTTTCAGTTCAGTCCCCTAATTTACATAGATAGTGGGCCAATATTGTATTAATAATGCCCTCTCCAGTCGGCTAAAATAAAAAGTCAAAATGCCCACTTCCTTTTTTTAAAAAGTACACACATATGTATCACTTCCTAAATTATGCTCATCATCAAGAATTCTTGGCTATAAAATCATGCAGTGTTGATGTCGAGATAGTTAACTGCTCCTGTAAAACATCCCAATGGCCTGGACTTCACATGATGCTTTTAGAGCATCAGTACTTGCTAGCTGGGGCCAAATGCACTCACTCATCCTTCTGAGAATTCTGCATTTTAAAGAAAGCAGGAAGTTCACATACAAATGACTCTCATTTCAGGTGCTTGCATGGATTTTCCTCTACTACCAATTAATTGGGCAAGCAGTATTTCTTTCACATCACACCAGAAAATGAAAGCCAAATCTTGGGGCTACTTAAAATTTCTGAAACAAGTACTCATGGTCATTCTTTACTCAAAGTTACCCCAGGCTCCTTGGCTCAAGACAAAAGCATCTTCATGGGAATTCCTTTGGCGTCGGTTTCTAGGCCAGTCATGCAAGCCATCCATAAATATGGACCTCTCACTCACTGCAAGCGGAGCTTCTGGGTTTTCAGGAAGTCAGTGGCTTTATCTTCCAGGTTCTGAAGCCAAGAGTAGGAAAGAGTGAATGTGAGCACTCCTTCATCAAAGAAGACTGAGAGAGAATGAAAGAAATATTTGATAAAACTACTGTCAGAGGCAGCTGGGAAGAGGAAAAGAACTCACTGTATACTAATATGGAAGCTGAAACGTGAGAAGGGGAAAGGGCTAGACAGACTCTGGTCATGCATATCTTTCCAAGTGTCACAAATACAAATGCATCTAGGGGCCAGACTGATAATACAAATAAATAACTGAAGCAAGCAGGATGCAAGACTCTAAGGAGTGATGAGGAGCAAATGCCCTGACTAAAGGGATTCACTGCCAAGTAATACTGACAATTTATGTGGCCTGGGCTGACCTGCTTTTCTTAGATTTCAAAATATCTGGATTTGTCATACAAAATACATGACTTTTATTAACTGTTTTCTCTATACGACATTGGTCACCACTGAAAATCATTTTAAGAAAGAGCCTCACAGGCCAGGCGCAGTGGCTCACGCCAGCACTTTGGGGGGCCAAGGCAGGTGGATCACAAGGTCAGGACCAGCCTGGCCAACATGGTAAAACTCCATCTCTACTAAAAATACAAAACTTAGCTGCTATAATCCCAGCTACTCGGGAGGCTGAGGCAGGAGAATTGCTTGAACCTGGGAGGCAGAGGTTGCAGTGAGCTGAGATCGCACCACTGCACTCCAGCCTGGGCGAACTCCAGCCTGGGCGACAGACACTCTGTCTCAAAAAAAAAAGAGCCCCACAAAACTCATTATTATGTTTACTGACAGACTAATATTTACTGTATTACACAATGGCAACTTTATGAGCACCGGGGGAGATAGTCCTTTCAGATGTCAAGTTTCCGTGATTATCATTGTAAATTAGTTGACTGATAATGACATTATCCTGCCTGCATTGGCTTCCAGGAAGCAAGGAAGTAAAATTTTGCAGCCCACCTATGATAAGTTAGATGAGAGTGTTGGGTAATGTGACTCTTACTTTGCTGTACCAACCCTCTAAGTTGCCTCAAAATCTTTTGGGGAGGCCGTGGCAGGTGGATCATGAGGTCAGGAGATCGAGACCATCCTGGCCAACATAGTGAAACCCCGTCTCTACTAAAAATACAGAAAAATTAGCTGGGCATGGTGGTGCACGCCTGTAGTCCCAGCTACTCAGGAGGCCGAGGCAAGAGAATTGCTTTAACCTGGGAGGCAGAGGTTGCAGTGAGCCAAGGTTGTACCACTGCACTCCAGCCTGGCGCCTGTTGGTGGAGTGAGACTCTGTCTCAAAGAAAAAAAAAATCTTTAGGGAAACCAGAAAAGTTATCACAAGTAAATAAATCTATATATCTATTTTTCCATTTTTTGTATTGATTTTTATTTACAAATGTAACTGTATATTTATTTAGCCCTCTCTGGCTGCCAATCCCTGGAATCTTCTCCCAGGGAAGCATCCAGGGAGCTGCCAAAGGCAGTAATCTATTTGTTTAAGTGAATAAAAACCAAGTCCTGATTTCAATTATACCTCCCCAAACATCTTTTGTTTGCCCACATTTTCACTATCATATTGCAATCAAGTTCTGCTCTCATGGTCAGTGTTAACTAGTTTTAATATTGCCATTGCATGTTCTCATTCTTCTTCTTTCTCTGGAATCTCTTCCTCAGCTCCCATGTGGTTCCACTGGGACTGTCGTCAGTCTTGGCGACCTGTTCCCTTTATCACAGACATGAACCAGGCAGTTAATCAGAACACAAATTCCCCCACATTCCACTAATAATTGGTTCATTAATCGGTATGTAACCTCAGCAAAGCCAATCAGAAGCTTCTCTGGAATTGGTTTGTGGATACCGGGATACTAAAATGAGAAAAGAAGAGCTTGGCAGTCATCTCTGTCCACTACAGGAGAGAGAGTTCACAACAGAAGCCAAGAAGTGCAGAGCTGAGAGATGGTGCAGGAGAAGGAAAGAGCCCTGATGATATCCTGAGTTCCTGAATTTCCTCTGAATCCAATTTCTCCCTTGAACATCTTTGTCATAATAATCATCAGCAATACTCCATTTTGCTCATATTTGTTTACGCAGACTTTCTGTCAGGACTGAAAGCATCCCGACTGTACTGTTGTCTCTAATCTCATGGTTCTATCCCATCTCAATCCATCCTCTACACAGCTGTCAAAGTAGTCTTATAATGTTTCTAACAGATATCTGATCTTGACACGGCTCTGCCCAATTTCCTAAAAGCCTGTCTCCTACAGGATAAAATACAAATGCTTCACATGATATTCAGGGCTTAATGTGTTCTGTCTTCCCTCCCTGGACACCGTATCTTTAGGCCCTCTCCCCTTCAGTCTTTGAGCTCCTTGTTGATCCTAAGCTCCGCTTGGCTTCTCACCACCCATGCACTTCCTCACCAATCTGTTTCTCCACCAGTTCTTAGACCTTATGCAAAAACTTAAAACTCCATGTCTTCTCAAGATAGCAAGTGTCTTAAAAAGCCCCAACTTGAGATGCAATGTTCTCATAAGGTCTCTAACAGAGCAAATTCTGAAGTATATTAAGCCTGCTAGATATCAGAACCTAACATGCTTTATAAACTGAGATGACAGGCTCAAGTTATAACCTGTCCACTAATCATTTACAAAACTATAAGCATCTTTTTAACAGGAAGGAGGTTGAATACAAGACCAATGACAGATAGCCCAGCAAGCAAAAAATAAGGTTCATGTGGTAAGGGCTGACCATTCCCACCTGTCTGAATAGGTGGCAATATGCAGAACTTCTAGCAGTATTTTCTGGGCTAGATATGTGTGCTTTGGGAAGGGAGTTTAGGCTTTTTGGCTTTCCTGTTGTGTATGTCTGTGGTTTCACTTGTGAACATCCATGTAGAAGCTTGGGCTTAGCCCTGAAATAGAATTAGGTTCCTTCTTGCTAACCTTATGGTACAGAGATGCAGAGACTAACGCTACAATGTTGGATGCGCAATGGCTGAATCAAAGCTGGGGAAAATGGGAAGTGGTAAAGTAGAAGCAGTAGTAAGACTATCTTTTATTTATATTCTTTGAGGAACTAACCAGTATCCTGTTGGCCTGAAAAAGTTATTGAAACTTCCCAGAGGTGTTCAACTTGTCTCCAGGAAATAATTTAGACCTTTTTACATTATCTCATTATCTCTTATGATCTCAGAAGTTTCCGAAGAATAAGGAAAAGGAAGCAGATGTGATTTTTATTTTACAGAAAGAGAAATGGATGCAGAGGGGTTAAGAAGGGCATTTCCCAAGGCTTGATAGTTGGGTCAGGATTAGAATGCCACACTTATACTATTATTAGCCTAATGGTCTTTACACTTTGCTGCTTGCAAAGTCCCCAGAAAAATGTTTAGAGCCGGGCAGGCGTGATGGCTGATGCCTGTAATCCCAACTCCTTGGGAGGCTGAGGTGGGAGGATCACTTGAAACCAAGAGTTTGAGGCCAGCCTGGCCGACATGGTGAAACCGCATGTCTACTAAACATACAAAAATTAGCCAGGCAGTGGCAGCATGTGCCTGTATTCCCAGCTCCTTGGGAAGCTGAGGCAGGAGAATCCTTTGAACCTGGGAGGCAGAGGTTGCAGTGAACTGAGATCATGCCACTACACTCCAGCCTAGGTGACAGAGTGAGACTCAGTCTCAAAAAAAAGGAAAAAAAAGAAAAATGTTTAAAACCATATGCTCGGCCAGACACAGCAGCTTATTCCTGTAATTGCAACACTTTACACTTTAGGAGGCTAAGGCAGGAGGATTGCTTGCCCAGGAGTTTGAGGCTGAGGACAGCTATGATTGTGCCACCACACTGCAACCT